GCGGGCCCGCGCCGCGCCGCGAGCCGCTGCCGTGGGGTCTGCGGGTGACATGTGCCGCTGCCCCCACCGCGGAACTAAAATTAGCGAAATGTCAGGAATGGAGAGATTGATTCGCCCAAGATGCAATTATCATTTAAAAAGTGCTTGATTGAGGTGCTGATGTTCAGTGATTTATTCTGCATACCATATACATAATTAAAGTAGTGTAGTGGAGTAATTTATCAATCTCGTTTAGACTAGAGGGGCAAGGAAAGGAGCTGCTGCCGCGGCTCTATGTTTGTTTTATTAAAACGCTTTCGGGCTCTGATCCCGCCCCCTTTTTGCAAGAGTGAAACTGATTATTTCTCCAGCTCGGGAGGAGAGAGTCACTCGTTTGGGATTGTGGGAGCGAGAGAAAGAGAGACGCGGAGAAGGAGAAGCGAAGGGAGGAAGAGGGAGAGGAGCAGAGAAGGACACCTCATCAGGCGTGTAGTTCGAATCCCTGCCTTGCCTCCCCCTTCCCCTCCGCGATGTTACAAAGGCTCTGAGCTGCTCTCCTTTTCCCATTCGCCTGCTGTCACTTCCTTCCTGGACGCTCTCAGGACGAGTCCGGTTACTTTTAATCCGCCGAGCAGCTCCGGCACTTTCTCCTCCTCCTCCTCCGCGCTGCACGCACCCGCACAGCACGCACACCCGCACGCGCACCGCAGGCATCGCCCGGCTGCTTATTGGATTGACTTTGAGGCTCGTGCGGGTGCTTCAGGGAGGCTGCATGGTGAACCAGGTGGTGAATATTTAAAGGCTGCAAGAAGTAAAGGGATTTTTGCTTTTTCCTGAGAAAGGAAAATATCTCAAGGACTAGCCTGATCATCTAGACAGCTAAATGTTTATCATGTAAGTACATGGGGAATTCAGCGTTGCGATGAGATATCGTGGGCATTGTACACAAGCCCCATATACGTTTCCTACTGCATTTGGAGAATGTATCAGTCGGTGTGTGTGGAGTGGGATGGAGGCTGCTKGCAGACTTTTGAAGGGGATGATTGCACTGTCAATTGCTTTAAAGTAACTTTTCAGACAAGTAACATTGTTAAATCACTGTCTAGTCAAATTACCACAGACTTGTCCCTATCGGCGTTGTAAGTGTTTAAACTTTGATGAAGTTAGTTCACGTCATTTGTATGCTTGATATTGCAAAGTGCTTGGAGCTTATTTGGTTTTAATAGTTCACCAAATGCTATGACCTTGTAGTGCTTGTACCCTGATTTCTCTGACTAAGGAAACAGCCCAGCTTAAGAGTGAAACRCTCTTAAACTTAATTGTATCATAGCTCTTCAGTTCCTGAGCTTAGGGAATGCGTGCTCGGAAGTGTTTAACTTCGTGCATCTCTCATTTGAATGCCTAAGGTTGGGATGGACAGACTCCTTATATTGTTGTGGAGATTTAAGACAGGCTTCCTACTTTTGTGGGGATAGTTTGCTTTGATCTTTACATAGTACTGTATGTAGGTAATCTCTACTTTTTTAGCATGAAGAAGTAGGACTAGTCAGTCTTTTAGAACTGTTTATTTTAATTGTGGTGCAGATACTTCGGGGCTAAGATAAAGTTTAATATAAATGAGGCACATGTAAGACGATTGGTGCAGTATGTAACTGTAATACGTGTATTTTCCATAAAACTTAGTGTGACCCTCTGGCAGCTTGAAAAACAAAACAAGTATAAAGGTAAAATAATAATTCATTTTCTCAAAAACATATATATAAAATAGAAAAGAGCACAGTGCAAAGCAAAACTCAGTTAATCGCTGCAGGAACTTAAACATCATCTTTTATAGAAGAGTTTTATTTTCTTTTGTTGTATATAGCAATTATTATTATTATCAAAAACCTGTATCCTAAAATCAAATACTGTAATACACAGCTTCAGACTAAGGATTTAAGAGAATTAAGCAGAGAAAGGCACTTTGCCAATATTTCACTGGTGATCAGAAGAGAATTGCCTTGACACAAAATGAATTTTCCTAGCACATATTTAATGATGAGCTTGATAGCAAATGTCCTAGTTTCATATCTTTACTTTAAAAGTGCTGCAGGATGAATGGTAAACCAATTGTGTTAGATGAAAATACGACTAGTTTGCTTTTTACTGGCACTTTCCAGGGTATTGTGGTAGAAGAGTAAAGATGTTTATATGGAGTATAATAACTCTAATCCCTGCAGGCTTGGCAGGGCATGGAATATAACCACCTGTGAACCAGTTTTAACCTCCGTATTACATTCTCATTTSCAGTTCAAACATTTGATCACTTCGGGGATTTGTTCTTTTGTATACTATCTTTTTTTAATATGATGCTAGGAGCCCAATGAGTAATATATATATATATATAAAAAATTCTTGATCAGTTTTATTAAAATACATGTATTATTTATATATTAGTCTGTCTGCATTCACAAACTCATAATTCATATTGAGTCTAATAGAAAAGTCTCTTCTCACTCTTAAGTCCCTTTGGAAGTAATGGAAAATTTCTCTGAGTAAGAACTTAAGAGAACGGCCCTTCATTCCTTTTATATGCATTCCTCATGGTACAAATCCTTTTGTTTTTAAATCTTGATATATTTTCTTTTTTAATTAGTATACAATAGATAGCATCAGAAGGGAATTGTAGGGTTTCAGATGTGAAGACTTTCACACAACCCAGGACTTACACAGCTGATGCTGCTTGCATGGAGATGGACCAGGAATAGTGGGCTGCGGGATCAGGCCCGCAGAAGACCTTAACATAGGGCTTTGTCCCACAGCTTTCTTGGCTTAGAGGTTGAATGAATATTCCTCTGATTTCCTTGTAAATGAAGGTAGGAATCAGATATGTTTGTATACTGTTAAGATCACTTGAATAAGAAAAAAGGAAATAGGCTTAAAAAAGTCTTGTGGGAATTGGTACTAAATGATGAATAGTGYGTCTTTTAGAAGCACGTTCCTGAGATGCTAATTTTAGAGAGTCATATGGATAATCATACACATACTTACTTTCTATGAAGTTTCTTTCATTATCGTAGTCAGATTTTTTTCTTAAAACTTTATAGTTCTTTTTTCCTAAACTCCCTTTATTTGTGGCTCTGCAACATATGTATTCAAAATRGAGAGACACTTATATTAAACAGTGCTGTTTTAAAAAATATCTAATATGCGTTAGGCAAAGAGAATGAACCTTTCTGATATTTTTTCCAAAAGTTTACCTCTGAAAGATTTTGCTAGTGAATTGAGTAACTCCCTGTTTAGTGAGTAAATATAACTGCATACAGACTTAGGAACTAAGCAGAGAGTTGTGAACTCGATACTTTTGCCAGTTTCGTTTTTTTTTTTAAATTTTACTTTCTTTTGTAATAGGTTAATTTACTGTACTAGGTTAATTTGCTGTTCAGCAAAATACTTCAGCTCATCTTCACAGGGAGCTAGGGAGTATTTCTACGACTCATTAGGCAAGAAGTCATGAACTGATACTGGGTGCTTGAAAGAATGATCACTTGGTTCATGATACGTTGACTCCGGTTTACCTGTTGGACATAGTTCTGCTAAATTACCTGATAATATAATAAATCCAAAAAATCAGATAATATATAATGAAATTCATTATAAAACTGATTATGAAGATGAACATTAAAAAAAGGTGCTAAGTAATTTCAAGAAGTTCGTAGTCTCTGCTTCCRCATTTTGAGATATAACCATACTGGTTATTTTGGGGACATAATTTAAGCTTTTTAAGTTTAGCTGTATAATATTAACAGAGATTTTTTTTCTACATCCTCGTTCAGACTCTGTAGTAATTTAGATATATAAAGCATTAAAATACGTAATTTAAAACAGCTATGAAACTTTAAGAATAGGGTTTGTATTATGGTATATTGAAAGGTTGGAAATATGKTTTTTTGCACATTATTTCAAAAGCAAAATGGCCATAGAAGAATTCYGGTTAGCAAGCACCACTGATGGTACAAGTGAAAAATTGCGGGGGTGGGGAGGAAGGAGAATTTCTTAATTTTCTATTTTTAAAATAGTGGAATTGCCCAGCTCTTCTGACAGCTTTAAGGTGACTTTCTTAGGACTGATGGCCAATTTTACATGTGGACAGGTGATTTAAAGCTGGTGTCTTCAGTCCTCCACCTTAATCTCACTGTCTCATTGACTGCAGAGCTTGTCTGTTCAGTGGKATCTGTCATCTTTAGGAAATCAGACCAGCTTATAGAGGCGATTCACAAAACCAACAGTGACAACAAAGTCTTATGTGCCTTACAAAAGAAGGATTAGGCAGTTCACATGTCATTTTGATTGGGGAGAGATAAAAGCTGATTGCTGCAGCATGGCAGGGCACACTTCATTTTCAATTGATTATTTTATAAGACAAGTATAACTCCGTTGCTTAGTCATTATTAAATGCAATTTAAAGCAAGGAAGATTCAATTTTGCGATTATTAGATTTCTATGACTTGATGCTAAAAGGAAGAGCCACTTGTAGCATTGGTATACAATTTTTCAAAAGCAGTGTTTATTCACCATTTCTGGAAAACAGGTTTAAAAATTAGTTGGTGATTATCCTGGGATTTTTTTAGAACATTTTTGCCTAAATGATATCCTGCAATAGCAATTAAAAGTTCTTGAAAGACTGTGCTAAATTCACAGCGCTTACCCTATTAAGACGAGGAGTGGAGAAACAAGTGTACGAAAGGTGTCAGTTTTTTTGCAGTTTTATCAAAAAAGTATTGTACTGAGGAACAAGTAAGATGTCTTAGTTCCAAACTGTTCTCTTATATTTAAAAACAAAATATAATATACTTCGTGTTGCATCTGTGAATGTGGCACCCTGACCCGAGAAAATAGTTAGCAAATTAAATGTTGCCCTTTATTCTTATCAATGAGAATACAAATTTTTAGCTATTTGCATAATTTAGTTATGACATGCCCTTTAAGATTTGAGAATATTAAACTTCCTTGATGGTTGCTTGTATGCTAATTTCTTACCTTTAAAAAACAAGAACAAAAAAACCCATTTTTTACCCAACTGATGCCTCCTAGTGTTTCACATAATAAAACACTAATGAGTCACCCATAAATGTAAACATTGTTTTTTCATTGCCTTCATCTTATRTGATACATAAAATTAATATTTATGTATTTAATTTTGTGTGTGTTATAATCAGAAGGAGAGCCCTGTAAATTTAGATGTTTTGTTTTAAAGGACATTAYGAAGCACATTTCAATTTTCTTTGCTTCTGGCTTTGTCTAGCTGTATTTGGTAAAGTCGGCGTCATGCGTAGCATACGTTCTCCTTTTCTTTTCCCTTCTGTTTTCCTTGTTCATTAGACTAACTTTTCAACAACTTCTTATGAGTCTCAAAAGGCAATTTAAGAAGTTTCGGTAGGATAGTGTTTCCATTGGAAATAGGCAATAAATGCAGCCATACAAGCGTTKGAAATAACTTGAAGTACCTCACAGCCAAGTGAAATGAAGAAGGCTACTCTGAGACATGCTCGCTCATTKTAGTCCTTAAAGAGTAGTTAAATTGTTATATTCTGTAAATATTCTTCGTTATTTTAATGCTATATAAGCAAAAAATAATATTAGGCAAGTTTTCATATGCACAAAATATGCACCTTGCAGTTTCGATGCTAGAGGTGGGGGTCCAGTACCTCTGAAAATGAATCTGTGTGCGTAAATTATTGAAGCAGAGCTTGGAGTGCTCAAGACTGACATATAGTGTCCTTTTCTTACAAGTTCACTTTGGCCATAGAACCTATGAATACCTGAAAAAGCATTCAATTATATTAGATTTATATCATGTAACAGTAGTGGGGTTTTTTTTCTTTGTTTGTTAAGAAGGGAAGATATAATTTTCA